TGGGTGGCAACTCGATGTAGGTGTGACAAAGTTTTTACCTAATCGGATACTCCCTTCGATAGTGATCGTACGCTCCAGCCAGACAGTCGGACGAACGGACATTTCTAGATCGACTCCAAATGTTTTGAAACGGATTTGGTCAAAGAGACCTAGGGTTATTTCGATGAGGCACTCTTTGACCGTTTCAAATTACAAGGTGATAAAAATAAAACAAAGTCAAACCCCATAATTTTTACTTTTTTTTTTTTTAAATTTTATTGAATAAAATCAATAATCTGAGCTGTATTTCATATATTTCCCTGAATATCGTTGTTACGGAGTGCATATTACGGCTGAGGGTAACATATAGCAAATCGGATGAACAATATATATGGGAGCTATAGCTATATCTGAATCGATCTTCACCAAATTTGACGTACTAGCTTTTAGACTCAATTCGGTCGTATGTGCCAAATTCCATCCCATTTGGGAAAATATTAGACGTTTGGTGCACAATAAATGGTAAATCGGACGAAGTTATATGTGGGACCTATGTCCAAATCTGAACCGATCTCGATAAAATTTAGCAAAAGTATTTCTGAGCTACATTTGATATGTTTCCCCAAATATTGTTGTTACAGTGTGCATATTACGGCTGCGGAGGACAATAATAACAAATCGGATGAACAATATATATGGGAGCTATAGCTATATCTAAACCGATTTCGATCAAATTTGGCATACTTATTTTCAGGCCTAATTTGGTTGTATGTGCAAAATTCCATACTATTCTGGCTGATACTACACGTTTGGTGCGCAGTAAAAGGCAAATCGGACGAAGATATGAGAGCTATATCTAAATGTTTACCAATTTTTTATCTCCAATTTCAATAGAGTTCATCCTTGGGCAAAACAAATGTTGTTTGGAAAATTTCATCTCAATCGGATAACAAATGCAACCTGCATTTTGTTCAGAAGAATACATGAACAGACGGACGGACAGACGTACTGACATACATAAATCAACTCAGAAAATGATTCTATGGAGATCCTCAAAAGTAACTATGGGTCTATCTCGCATCCTTCTCCATGTTACAAACAAATGCACAAAGACATAAAACTCTTACCACTATGTGGAGTAGAGTATAAATACATTCGCAGACGGACGGACGGATTAGAAAAGTCGTCCCAGAATGTGATTCTATTTCGATCACTTAAAACAACTCTATGTTTCCTTTGGATGTTTTAAATAAATGCACGTAGGGATAAATGTGGACAAAATCTGAACATTTCTTCATTGGATAAAAATAAAATGCAGTCAATTCACAATATTCCCCGATGTATGATAATCCGCGTATTTAAAATTTGCTCTAGTACAAAGATTTTCGAAAAACAATTTAATTACAAAAAAAAAAAAACATTTCATTTTCCCTTTAAATTATTATGCAACACTCGAACATTTCCAAACCACAATAGAAAAAATGTGGCTAATGTAAAGCGTAGAAGAAAAACCTCCACAAAGATGGTATGCCAAAGTCAGAATGCTTTAAGGATAAATGATATAAAGCAGACATTAGACTGGGAACAAAAAACAATGCAAAAGAAAAATGTGTTAATGTTTTTGCGATGTGTACTACACGAAACGCTTTAAACAAAACTGGATGAACAACAATAACAACACCGTCAGCAGCACCAATAGCTCTCAGTTCAGAGCAAAGCAAAGTAAAACAAAACTCATTATTTTGCTCATTAAATTCTTTGGCTTATAATTAGCAAGAACCAAGCTAAAACTACATCCAAACTACAACAACGAGTGCAACAAATCCGACCGACCGAGCGACCGACCTACCTACCGACAACACCAACACAACCTATTAAATAACACAGCAAATACATCAGCATCAGCTCGGCAAAATAACTTCTTTGCTATACGAGAATTAATTTATTCTCTCATCCCGGAACATTTGCTGCTGTTAATGCATATTTGCAGTGAACTTTCGAAGGCGAACGAACTTGGGATAAGATAAGATAAGACGCCAACGCTGAAAATGCAAAACAAAAAAGTTTTCTTTCATTACTTTGTAAATTTTCTTTGCCATGGTTACCAACATAAAACGGAAGAAAAATACTGTATTCAATTTTTTTTGTATTGCTGTTGTTTTGTAACATTCATGCATCCATCATTATGTTGCAGTTAGAGCTTTCAATGGTAATGTTTGATAGTATGTGCGTAGGTACGTTTATATATTGGCTAAAATTGTACTGATATACAGGGCTAAAAATAAGATTTTTAAATGTTGTTTTTCATAGTATCTATTCAACAACACTTCCTACACGAGAAGAATATTACCAGGCCTACCATCCATAAAGACTTTGAACTTAGAAACACTTGGGTGTATAACTAAATTGAGAGAGAGTGTATGAAAGGGCATGGCTATTGAAGGGAAGAATCGAGCAGTATCTGAGCACAGCATATTAGTCAGTCAATAATATTTCGATCTTCAAAGTCAATAATATTTCGATATTTCAAGATTGGAGCAATGTCAGCAATTTTTAAGATTGATACAAATATTACGATTCCATCGTTACAGAACGCATTATATGAAATCCAAAATGTAGTGTTTTTACAAATTTAATCTTCCATGGGGAAGAAACAAGAAAGCCGATTATATTTCTCATCTTCGTATTTAATTTAATTTTTCTATCAATGTATGGAAGTGCTAAGTTTGAAGAAAATAGGTCATCAAATTAAAAATTTTATGAAATATATAATTATCTAAAATTGTTACCCTTATGAGAGTGGTTTCAAAATACTTAATTTTCGCTATAAATTTGAAATAGTAAATAAAAAAGCTGTAAGATCGGTCGGGCCGAACTTTGAATACCCTTCACCATTTCGAACGAATTTGGCAATTTTCAAAAAATAAAATTCGTGAAAATTTCTGTTACAATCGTAAAAATACCGAATATAGCCGTTATATTAGGGTCTATATGTCGACGTGGACCTGCATAGGCAACTTTTGTCATAAGCCACTACAATATTCAAATACGAAACCTCAAATACGAAACCTCAAAAAAATCGATGAATAATGTAACTAAAACCGTCAAAATACCGAATGCAGGGAAGTAATTATATGGGGGCTATACCAACTCGTGAGTGATCAATCTACTTCAATTCATTCAGAAGCTAGAGTGATTTCCACAGACAAACGGACGGACATCGCTAAATCGCCATAGAATTTTGTGCTGATCAAAAATATTTATGCTTTGTGGGGTATAAAATGTATGTTGGTACATCCCCCACAAAAAGTTTACATTTTGATTAATTATTCGCATTGGAAACAAATGTCAGATGCACATTAGTATTAGATGAAGTGGAATACTTCGGTCCACTATATTTGGTACCTCATGCACATTTCACAATTTTATTATTATTTTATTTTATTATATTGTTATTTATTATTTTATTATTATTATTATTAATATTACTATTAATATTATTTTTATTACTATTATTATTATTATTATTATTATTATTATTATTATTATTATTACTATTATTATTATTATTATTATTATTATTATTATTATTATTATTATTATTATTATTATTATTATTATTATTATTATTATTATTATTATTATTATTATTAATATTATTATTATTATTATTATTAATATTATTATCATGATTATTTTTATTACTATTATTATTATTATTATTATAATTATTATTATTATTATTATTATTATTATTATTGTTATTGTTATTATTATTATTAATATTATTATTATTATTAATATTATTATCATGATTATTTTTATTACTATTATTATTATTATTATTATTATTATTATTATTATTATTATTATTATTATTATTATTATTATTATTATTAATATTATTATTATTATTAATATTATTATCATGATTATTTTTATTACTATTATTATTATTATTATTATTATTATAATTATTATTATTATTATTATTATTGTTGTTATTGTTATTGTTATTATTATTATATATTATTATTATATTAATATTATTATCATGATTATTTTTATTATATTATTATTATTATTATTATTATTATTATTATTATTATTATTATTATTATTATTATTATTATTATTATTATTATTATTATTATTATTATTATTATTATTATTATTATTATTATTATTATTATTATTATTATTATTATTATTAATATTATTATTATTAATATTATTATCATGATTATTTTATTACTATTATTATTATTATTATTATTATTATATTATTATTATTATTATTATTGTTGTTATTGTTATTGTTATTATTATTATAATATTATTATTATTATTATATATTATCATGATTATTTTTATACTATTATTATTATTATTATTATTATTATTGTTATTATTATTATTATTATTATTTTTATTACTATTATTATTATTATTATTATTATTATTATTATTATTATTATTATTATTATTATTATTATTATTATTATTATTATTATTATATTATTATTAATATTATTATTATTATTAATATTATTATCATGATTATTTTTATTACTATTATTATTATTATTATTATTATTATAATTATTATTATTATTATTATTATTGTTGTTATTGTTATTGTTATTATTATTATTAATATTATTATTATTATTAATATTATTATCATGATTATTTTATTACTATTATTATTATTATTATTATTATTATTATTATTATTATTATTATTATTATTATTATTATTATTATTATTATTATTATTATTATTATTATTATTATTATTGTTGTTATTGTTATTGTTATTATTATTATTATTATTATTATTATTATTATTATTATTATTATTATTATTATTATTATTATTATTATTATTATTATTATTATTATTATTATTATTATTATTATTATTATTATTATTATTATTATTACTATTATTATTATTATTAACTAACTGTTATATTTTCCTTTACTAATTGTAATATATACACATATTTTTTTTACAGATACGATTTAAATATATATGAATTGGTAAGTGAAAGTTACACTTTTAAACTACAACTGATTAGATGACAATATTCGAAAATCCTGCCTTATCTCCACCAAGAGCTGCCATCATTCAAAACCCTTTCAACGTTTTAGCTCTTATCTTTTGCTCGAAAGAAATGTTTCAGTTAGTACTTTTCATAACCCTAATGTACGAATTACAAACCAGATGCGACCTCCATACAATTTCGAAGTTTCAGCTCTGTTCTTCAGAATTTTAAAATCGAATTTCTCAAAATTAATTTAGCTTTGCGATAGTAAAAAAACTATATGATATATATCGGAGCCGACTACCACCAAATGGAAACGTATGTCCCAAAATTCACTCCATTTGGGCTGATATTAGCCATTTCAGGGTAAGATAACTAAAAACTGTAACAAAGCCAAACGCCATACTTTTTATTTTTTTTTAATTTTATTGAATGAAAGCAAAAACTGTCGAAAATAGCATCAAATTTTAGAATAAGTTTAGCTTTATTCGAATTGGTCACCTTTGGCACGAATTGTGGCCTTCAAATCGCCAATGAAACATACGCGTCACACGAGTTACAGAAACAACATCAACAACAACAACATTAACACAAGCACCTACAAAGCCACCAAGGTTAAATCAAGCAAATAAATAATAAAAATTATTAAGAATTGCTAATAAGTCAATAACCGTATGAATTGCTACATATAAAATTAGTAAGAATTTTAAATAGTTCAACAGACCGAAAAAGAACTGTAAAATAAAGAATTGTTCAATAAAAGAATTGTTAAATAAGCATATATTTAAATTTCAAAGAATTGTAAACAGGCCACCAGCTATAGAATTACTAATAATTTTATAAATTGTCAAAATGCAGTTATTGCAATTTTCACTTTAAATAAGTTTATAATCGTAACTTTCATTTTAATTATTGTTTTCAATAAAGAAGAGTAATTTTTGAGCAACCAACGAATAAACTTGTGTTTTTTTTAATACTCGGATTACTACAAGAATTAACTGGCGCAGTCGGGTAGTTCTGGTTCCTGCGCTACAAAAAAAAAAAATTAAATAAGTGTTGTGACGGTTTATCGCAAACGAAAAAAAAAGCGCACGGAATTACATAGAAGACGAAGGATAATCGTCTGAAAAGAACAGAACAGAACCAGCATCCGTGACGGATCATCACGAGGAAAAGCAGAACCAACAAGAGAGGACATCTGTACGGACATCTGCCAAGGAAAACTACTTTAAGGACAACCGATTCCAGTCAACGTTACCAACAATAATGTCAATAAGAACTATAATTTTAATATTGTAAGTGAAAATTTCTATTATTACCAAATTTATTGTGGAAAAGTGCTAGGAACAAGCAATACTATTAAATATTTTACTAAAGGATAAAATAGAAACATACTTAAAAGATTCAAGATTCAGTTTAAAGATTAATAAAAGTGAAAACTTATATTGTGAACAAATATAAAATAATTTAACCGTGTTTTTCAAAGAAAAGAAAAATAGATAATTTTTTTTAAATAATTTACCTATTAAATATTATTTAAGTGAATATATTTAAATATAAACATATATATTTCGATATTATAAAATAATTTTGCTTTCTAAAGAAAATAATTGATTGAATTAAAGAGAAAAAATAAGCATATGCGTAAATTTCGCCCTTATACTATCCCAAGAACCCTTATTCCTATCCCAGAATCTGAAACCGATATGAGTATCAGTCAAAATAATCAAAGTGGTGTAATGAATTCTACGAACAGTTCACCCTCGACAGAAAGAAATATACTGGATTCCTTAAGAATCCCAGATGCTGTCAAGGATCTTCCAAAATTTGATGGAAATCCGAGATTGCTATACGATTTCATAAGCAATGTGGAGGAAATACTTACAGTATTAACACCCATTGATGGCACCCCTCTTGGCAAGATGATTTTAAGGTCTATACGTAACAAAATTGAAGGAGAAGCAAATGAGATTTTGAATATGTATAGCACAGACTTGAGCTGGCAGAGCATTAAAAATAATCTCATATTACATTACTCTGATAAACGAAATGAAACTTCATTGATTCGAGACTTACACCTACTAAAACAAAATAATAAGACACTTGAGGAGTTTTATAGTTCAGTTGTAGAGATCCAAGCTTCAATTAACAATAATCTGATGATACACGAGGTAGATGCCAACATAATAAAAGCTAAACGAGATTTATTTGATAAAATGTGCCTTAACACATTTTTATCTGGACTTAGAGAACCATTAGGCTCCTCCATTAGGGCTATGAAGCCAGATACTTTACCGATAGCTTTTTCATACTGTATTACCGAACAAAACATGTTTTATATAAGACAAGAAAACAGGAACATTTTGAAAAGGCAAGAAACTCATAGACAGTACAATTCACAACATTCTTACCCTAACATTAAAAAACCATTCACTCCAAATCATTATAGACAACAAAACGCGATTTATAGTCCACCTATGCATTTCAATAGACCACAATTACCAATGAATCAACCATTTAATAGACCCCAATTAAATTTACCAACACCAATTAATAGACCTCAGTTAGCACAGAGTTTTTTACCAACACCTATGCAAACACAATACCCTACAGCCACAAACAATCAAAACCAATTTAGCAATTTTAGACAACAACGCTTAGACAGTAACACAAATTTTCCACCACCAGAACCCATGGACACTAGTTCAGGCTATACTCATCTAAGGAATAATAGTAGACAAACACGTAGATTTCCAAGAGAAGTACATCATATCGACCATAACTATAGGAACTTTAATACCTATTCAGATCCTGTAAACTATAACATTCCTAATTATTTACCTGAGTTGGACAATTACAACGAGATAGAGGATGTACAAAATTTTCAATTAGATGCCTCCAAAACCCAACAGGATACCTAGACATAAACAAACATGGCACTAACCTGCCTTACATAAACATTTCATCTCCATTTGGGCGTCCACTCCGTTTTCTTATAGACACAGGCGCATCAGCATCCTTTATAAACCCAGAATATACAGGGAAATTAAACATAGAAAACTGTGCACCAATAATCATAACCACTGTGTTAAACAAACACCAATTGAATACAAAAGTTAACATCCCTATGTTCATAGAATTCCGAGAATGTGGAATCCTGGAATTCTTTGTCTTTAAATTTCATAACTATTTCGATGGTCTCATTGGACTCGATATACTTACTAATTTAGGTGCAAAAATAGACCTCGAGAAAAAGCAATTAATTACAAACAATTGCTGCATCCCTTTGTCTTTTAAACCAAACTTAACTTCCGGTAAATTTCTTATATCACCAAAAACTAAAGCAATTATGAAAATTCCTGTAGATTTAGAAAGTGGCGATTTCCTAATCCCCACAATATCAATTAACCCAGAAGTAACCATTTCACCTGGTATGTACAAGGCTGAAAACTGGTACAGCTTCGTTGAAATAAATAATAAGTCAAACTCGGACAAAATAATTTTAATCGAAAACCCAATTAAAGTAGATCCAATAAAAAATTCATATTATAGGGAAATTAATAATATAAGCTTCGAACATATTCCTGAATTTCAAAGCCCTCAGTTACTGGACAATCTTAGAATTGATCATTTGAATATGGAAGAACAAAAGGTTATCACAAAACTATGTAAAGAATTTGAAGATATTTTTCTTCAAGATAATCAGTCCCTTACTTTCACCAATAAAATCAAACACAACATTGTCACAAGAGACGACATTCCTATTTACACAAAATCATATAGATACCCCCATATCCACAAAGAAGAAGTAAAAAAACAAATTTCAGACATGTTAAATCAGGGTATCATACGGGAAAGCTACTCACCATGGAGTGCACCTGTTTGGATAGTCCCAAAAAAAGCAGATGCTAGTGGGAAAAAAAAAAGTGGCGTTTAGTTATTGATTACAGGAAACTAAACGATAAAACAATATCAGATAGATACCCAATACCAAACATAAATGAAATACTGGACAAACTTGGCAAGTGCATGTATTTTACCACATTGGACTTGGCTAGCGGATTCCATCAAATAGAAATGAATCCAAAAGATATTCCCAAGACAGCATTTACAGTAGAAAATGGGCACTACGAATTTGTGAGAATGCCCTTCGGCTTAAAAAATGCACCATCAACATTTCAACGGGTGATGGATTGCGTTCTTAAAGATTTGATAGGAACAGTGTGTCTTGTCTATTTAGACGACATCATTGTCTATTCAACCTCACTCCAAGAACATTCGGAAAATTTAAGAAAAGTTTTTGAAGCCCTTAGAGAAGCTAATCTTAAGATTCAATTAGATAAGTCTGAATTCTTACATAAGGAATGCGCATTTTTGGGCCATTTAGTGACCACAGAAGGAGTAAAACCAAATCCTGACAAAATAAAGGCGATCCAAAACTTTCCTATACCCACAAATCAAAAAGAAATAAAATCGTTTTTAGGTCTACTAGGTTATTACCGTAAATTTATTAAAGACTTTGCCAAAATAACAAAGCCATTTACAGCTTGTCTGAAGAAAAATAAAACTGTTATAGTCGACGATAACTATAAAAAAACGTTTGAAATTTGTAAACAACTCTTGGTAAATGACCCTATCTTACAATATCCAGATTTTTCTAAGCCTTTCAATCTTACGACAGACGCAAGTAATTTTGCGCTAGGAGCCATTCTTTCGCAAGGACCTATAGGGAACGACAAACCGATTTGTTACGCAAGTCGCACACTCACGACATCGGAAATCAATTACTCAACAATAGAAAAAGAGCTCTTAGCCATAGTTTGGGCTACAAAATATTTTCGACCATACCTATTTGGTCACCAGTTCAGAATCATAACAGATCATAAACCACTCACATGGATTATGAGCCTGAAGGAGCCAAACTCTAAATTAATAAGATGGCGATTGAAACTAGAAGAATTCGATTATGAAATTATATACAAAAAAGGCAAACTA